ACAAAGAAACATGTTTGTTGTCTCTGTCCTAAAAAGAAAGAACCTGCCCTGTCTCACACAGAAATGAGCCAAAGCAGCCACAATAGACAGCAGATTCTCCCCCCCCGACACACCAACCACCCTCATCTCCCACCAACCTCTGTCGGCCATGTTTTCACAACCCAAGATAACATAGGGAAGGGGAGGAGACAGTTACAGAGTTTGATAAATGACACAATACCGAGGAAGACGTGACAGAGAGAGATGTGGGACAGATGCGGGGAGTTTCGGGGAGGCGGGGGGTAAAAGACAAGAGATACATTGCGAGGTCATCTCAGTGTTTATCCACCCACGACAACGATGGGGGTCAGCGAGTGTTTCTCAAGGCAGCAAGTGTTGTTTCAGGATGTTGCAATGATGACAGGTTTCCTTGAGGAAAGCGCTCATATTTTCTTTAACAGTATATTTCTCAAGGAGGAGGGTGATATTTTCCAAAATACTTCTTTTTCAAAAAAAAGCTAGCTGAGCTTTATCTGCAGGGCAATTTATCTGGCTTAACGTTCATGTTTGGGGAACAACCCTGTGCGTGATAAGTCTTACTCCTGATGTGTTTTGTTGTACAGTAAATGTCATTTTAGGGTCCTGAGGCAAGCTGGGTCTAAAAGGCTGAGATGCAATGTCTTGCACATAATGGACTATTAAATCTCTTAGCATTGGCATGCTAGCTGGGTGGCCCGTGGAACTTGTGCAGCAGCTGAGCCATCACCTCCAGGGCCTGCATTAACTCATAAAGATCACTGTCTCTCCAAAACCACACCGAGCCAAATCAGAGGTCATGTGTGCGCGCGTGTGTTCATGTGGATGTGTGCAAATGCGAGAATCTTGAAAGCATGACAAATGATACTTTTAGTGCATATGTCATGTTTAAAACAAGCAAGATTGCTTAATTTCACTGTCTGTATTAAACATATGTGTGGGTTTCTCCCACTCCTGTAATTACAGTCGTTGCTATCAGATGAAAATCCGACACCGAGTTTATCTCGAGATGTGCCCTTTGTGTAAGCAACATCTCACTGCTAGATTGATGGAGAATTGGAGGAGTTCACACAAATGGAGGAGCATTATAGTGTCGGGTTACCTCTAAGTTCTCTCTGTGTGTCTCTTTTTCCCTCTTTATCTGTCTCTCCTAGTTTCCCTCCTTTCCCTTTTGCTCTATGCATTAATAATTTCCCCTCCCTTGTCACTCATTTCCCCAAACATACATTTCTTAGTTTTTCTATCCATGTTTTAAGGTTTTTTCTTGTTTTTCAGCAAGGGAACACACTAAAAAACACACACACATGTACAGGTACTGCATGGCGAATAAAGGCAGCAGACCACCTAGGACTCTAGGAGGAATCTACTTATCTGACTGATCTTCGGAAATGACTGTCTGCAGCATATCACTATAGATCCATTTACTGTGGCAACCCTTCATTAATGCTGTGTGTGTGTGTGTGTGTGTGTGTGTGTGTGTGTGTGTGTGTGTGTGTGTGTGTGTGTGTGTGTGTGTGTGTGTGTGTGTGTGTGTGTGTGTGTGTGTGTGTGTGTGTGTGTGTGTGTGTGTGTGTGTGTGTGCAAAAACATCTAAAGTAGTGCCCTTGTTGCACTCTGTAGGCATGATTTCTTGGAAAAATACAGCCATTCTAACCTGGCTGCACACACAGAAAGACACACTCATACACACTCACACACATACACACACACACACACACACACACACACACACACACACACACACACACACACACACACACTGACAAAGACAGACACATGCAGCCACATGCACACAGATGTCGACAGACTACCATATGTATACCAATGCTCTAATAAATCTATCTCCTCACTTGTCTATTTTCTCTGGCTTCACCCATGCAGCAGTGAATGCCTGTAGTGCTTAAAGGCAGAGAGAGAGAAGAGGAGAGGAGGCTAGTGGAGAGGGGACAAAACACGATAAGCAGAAGAGAGGAGAGGAGATGAAAGTTAAAGGACACAAGTAGAGAAAGGGAAAAGGAAAGAAAAGATTGGGACAGCATGTGGAGACAAAAGGAAAGAAAAAGGAAGGATGATGAGAGGAAACAAGATGAGAAGGGAAGAAGAAAAGACACGAGATGATGGGAGACAAGATGAGGAAAGGAGAGACAAATGGAGGGAATTGAGGAGGTAGAAGAACAAGATGAGGACAGGAGCCGAGAGAACTAAACAAGATGAGGAGAGAATGACACAGAGAAGAAAAGAGAAGTGAGATAAGTATATTAGAGGAGAGGAGAGAGAAAAGACAAGACAATAACTGGAGAAAAGACGAGGAGAGGTAAGCAAAGGAAAGGACCCAAGAGAGAAGGATAGGAAGAAATGGAGGAGGAAATACAGGCATATAAAGAGACAAGAGGAGAGGGCAAAGGATCTACAGAAGGGAAGATATGAGGAGACAAGTGCCCCATGGCATTTTCTTCCACCTCTCCATGTCTTAAACACAACCACTGGCCCAACTTTGCTACACACCACCGTGCAACAAATTCCAGGAAAATATGAACTTGTGTCAACTTGTACAGCTTAAACCAATTCAGGCTGACTTTTTGTTTCCTCCTTGTCTTTTCATTTCTACGGTATAAATACCTCAAAACAACACCTCTTTTTGCTGAGTTGCAGAAGGGATGATTGGTGATAACCATCACTGAAGTTAAAACCTGACTCGGCCCTGTGCCTGTTTTTTAATAAGTCTGTCAATATGTGACGTCTCTATTTACTTTGGCTACTTTGATCGATTATTTAGTAAAGAGGTTTGATAGGAATGTTTCTGTATAAATACAAAATGTTGAATTGACACTTACCCAAACAACACATTTTCTGGATGGGGTCTTTGTACTTTGTTAATTGTATGTGCACCTGTGTATGTGAACATAGTTTGAATACTGTACAAACATACTGAAACATTCATCACTATTAAATTAATAAAAAAAGGGTCTCATCAAGTCATATCTGTGGCCAACAGGATCACATGTGTTACAACGGCCCAAAACACTCCCATTGGAAGAAACGTCCAGCAGTTTAAAACATTTTTAAGACATTCAGGAATTATAAAGTTGGTCAACTGTCACTCATTCATAATTGAAAGTGTTATGTCAGTATATTTGAAATGACCCGGTAAGCTATATTAGCTAGCTAGCTTCCAGATCTGCAATAATATCGGAAGGAATCATGCGATCACATTGTTAAAACAAGCCAATAAAACGTACATTTTAGGTTAGTTTCCAGTAAAAGTGGGCCAAATGTATAAAACCCGAACGTCAACAACTGCTCCGGTCACAGCTCTTCGCATCACTTTTTAGTGACCCTGTTTCAGTTTTTTTATTTGCAACGTTTTGTTTATGCATTGTTTTTAGTAAAAGATCCACATGGCTCGTCAAGTTGGTAAATGGTTTCTAAATGTTGCTGATGTGTTTTGAAAGTTTCTCTTAATGGAAGTGTTTTGGTCTGTTGTACAGATTTGCACGGGTTGGCCACCTTACACATCCCAGACAAAAAGGATGAGATGAAAACAAGAATGTTTTACTTTTTATTTGAATAGATTATTGAATGTGAGTCAAACGGTAGTTCTATCCAAGACGAAAAATATAACATAACATCCAGATATGAAAATACTTCTGATGAATAACAAAATGAAGAGCATAATGAAATGCAAACCAAACATGGACAATATAAATCTTTAAATAGATGAAAAATCAAGGGGAATATGATTTGACACAAACAAAAGCCAAGATGGGTTGAATTATGTAGTTATATATAATATTTTTTATGACATTATTTACATCATGGTGACAACGCCATTCTGCGCCTTGCTTTTAATCACTTGCTATACATGCTGTAGTTTATTCCAAACCTGGTTACGTCTATATGTGGTTCTTTGAATGTGCTTAACTGAAGACATGCAGATATGTTAATGGTATTAGATTTATGTCACTAGAGCGGTCAGATAAAGAAGTGCACAGTACACACGGCAGTGTCATTGTGATTTTTTTCTTGAGTCATTCTTGTATTCTAATAAAGTTATAAAAATGAAACCTTTAAAACTTAACATCAGCCAGACATGCCATATTATGACTACTGTAGCTCAATTATTGCTCATATTTACCACCATCATGCTGCCTTTTCTTTACAAAATGAAAGTTACAGTAACAATGACTAAAATATAATCATGTCACCAAGATTACCATGTAAGTATGTATATTACGTCCATTCCATTAACACTGTGTGTGCGTTTTTATTTTATGATCTCAATCAAATATTAAATACGTGTGTGTTCTTTCCACAAAAAAATACAAACAGCTGTTGCTGCAATAATCATCCTAACAGTTTAATAAGTTGCACAGGTTCAATGTGCAAACAATTAAAGTCATGAGTCATTGTGTTGACATGACATAGGGACCTTGTTCATGTGTACAAATTGATTTAAGCATAAAATGGATGAGTGATTCCTTCCTGCTTTCACTTTATCAATCTGTCTGTGTTTCCTGTTTTATTTTGAAAAGTGATCACCCTTTGCGTTATGTCAGTTCCTGCCTGTATGATTACCTTATTCTTACAACCTGGTGCCTTTGTGTTTATCCCGCCCTCCCCAGCTGTGTCTTGTCCTTGTGATTGGCTCTGCACGTATTTAAGTCATACAGCCATCCTTACACTTGTCACTCACTGGTCTTTTGTTTGGCTCTTCAAAAAGTCATACAGCAGATAATAAAAGAAACAGTAACAGTCGGATTTGAATTATGATAGCTTCCTGAAAACACATACATTAACATCAGAACAAGATGATTTTCCTTAAGGGAAAAACCGGACACAATGTATTATTATAGCTCAGTATACTTACTGTACATTGTCTGGTAATAAAATCCAGGTGTAAATGAGATGACAGGTTTATGTGGAACATACCTTCTCTGAAAAGGAACAAATAAAAGATCTTGTCTGCCTCACACAGAGACTGAGAGTCAAAGAGCAGTGTGCTTTTAATAACCAACATGATGCAGTTTAACATCAGACAGCGTCTTAAAGATATATAATAGGTACTGTCAACTGAAGGATACGGTGATAACTGGCCAAACTGCACAAACACATTTAAACACTTCCTCTCTCACACACTCACACACATATCCAAATACAGTATCAAACGAAAGCTAACATCCAAAGTGCATTATTACATTAGCCCTGTATATCATAACAGATAAACAAAATACATTATATACATTTTCTCCATACCGAACAATGTGAATGAAGGTTTCTCTTTTGGTTTAATAGAAACGGGCGACCGCAAAGGGTTTAGGTTATTGAAGGAGTCCATCATGTCCAAAGTGCTTCTGAGAGAGATGGAAGTGAGTAGTCTTGTCATCATATCTTTATATAAATAACAGTCTTTGCTGCCAGGCCAGATCCACACCTTCAAAACATGGTGTTGACAGTGTTCTTCAAAATGATAAATGATACTGTGATACCCTTTCCCTTTTTCTGTATGTTTTTGACAGAGTAGAAAATAGCAAGCAAGTAGTAGAGAGAAAAAAGTAAAGACCAACATGTTTGCTAAATAGCCTAAAAAGCATGCTAAATAGCTGAGTTACATCAAAGCCTGTAGAATCGATTTAGCTCATATTTATTTAGATAGCTGCTTATTTCTTTAAACAAATAATTGTGTGACTGCACTTAAACTAGCTTATTAGTGTAACAAGTTGGCTAGCTAGAGCTGATTAAAGCTGGCAGTTGTCACTTAACCTGACAAAACCAAAGGCTGCTTTTGTGCACCTCTTTTTGTCAGGGACCCATTGTTGCATATATTCATAAGAACTTTGCCTGATAAATCCATGTACCATGTGAAAAAGGGAAGCTTGTATACAGGCTTAGCAACAACTCAAACTCTTTGGTATTAGAAAACAGTTAACATCAAGCTCTGCTGTTGAACTATTAGTGGAAGTGACACTAAGAAAACCTCCGAGCAAAAGTCCTCCTCTTTCATTAATATGGAAAACACACATTTTCACATTCTTTGGTCCTTTTTCATATAAAAGAAAAAGAAAAAATAGTTAGTTTGGAAAGAAGCATAAGCAGTAAGGAGCAAGAAGAACCATTTATCTGTTGACTTTCTATTACTTATTTAAACCACTTCCTATTGTTTCGATGTGGGTGCATTAACTTTCTGTACCTTTTGAATCTTTGGCAGCACTTTTTATTTCTCTTTGAATTTCTGGGAACCAAATAGCAAATATTAGGAAATATACATTTTGTGGAGCAATATCAAAATGTATTTGCCATAAAAGTCCAAACCCTATCCTTCTTTAACACAAACCAAACTAAAGCAAACACCTCCAAATGCAATAGAAGTAATATAAGTAATATAATCAACCAAGTCATATTGACTGCTGTCGACCTTACTTCATTAGTTCATCAGTGACAGAGACTAAGCTCTTTTTGGACCGAGCATTTCTGGCACTGGACCACACAACACCAGTGGAAACGACACAGACAGTTCTCCTCTATCACCACTGATTCCTCGCTGTAGCCGCGCTCGCAGCACAGCAGGTCGCAGCCGCTGATATCCATGGCTGTGCTGTTGCACATGCGCCCTCGTGTCCCCAGTGAACCAGTTTTCCGATTTGCAAGGCAGAAATCGGGCGACTCGTCTGAGTAGATCAGATCCTGCTTATCTGGTGGCTTAATGTTCTGGCCAACAGGGATCAGGGTCTTTCCGTCGTTGCCTCCCATTACCTTCGAAGCTCCGTTGAAGCGCTCTAATAGGCGGTCGCCCACCTCACGGAAATGAGGCATCTTTTTCCAGCATGTGCGCAAGGTGCATGATCCCGACAGGCCGTGGCACTTACACTCTGTCCGCATGTAGAGCTTCACAGCCTGGAAAGGAGAATAAGGAATAGGTGGGTTTTGGATGGCAGGGGTAAGGAGAGAGGTGAGGGAGGGAAAATGGTTGATTAATATGGAGAAATAAACAAGGTTGATCAAACAGAAAATAATGTGACAAAAGGAACTTCAAAGCTTCTAACCCAAAGTGAAACTGGACAGCTTTTTTTCAAATGATGAGTTCTCTAAAGAAAGTAATTTATTATTGTGTTTTTATGTTAAATCACAGACAAAGCCACCGGGTCACACCCACACCCACACCCACACCCACACCCACACACACACACACACACACACACACACAAATGCACACACTGATAGATAGGTAAGATAAAAGCCGACGCTATTCAGAAGGAATTTAACTCCCCACCCCCCTTCCCCCTCCATGTTGCCTCTGGCCTTCCTACATCTAACAAGCCTTGACAACAGATCATTCACTTATACTGCACATAATTAACCCATCACACACACACACACACACACACACACACACACACACACACACACACACACACACACACACACACACACACACACACACACACACAACACACACACCGTTTCAAACACACACGCTTGCAAAACGTGTATACAAGTATACACGCATGCTTGCACACAAACAGACATTTGCACGCATCACAGCACGCTTATTTCTCAACCTCTGGGCATTTGTGTGCTGTTCTCTTCTTTTGTTCAAATGGTTTGTTTTCGCTAATGCTACAATTGGACTAGGTCCCAAAATCCTCCCCTCTTCTCTCTACCTGCCTTTGACCCCAGCTAAAGTGAACTTTGTGACGCTCGTGCATGTGTCAACATTTCTGAAAGTGGGTGTAACAAACGGAGAAGAAACACTGACAGCTAAAAGTAAATGGGAAGATTTACCGAGCTGTATCTCAAATGAACATAATTAGCTTCTCTCAATAGTTGCTACTTCATCTCGAGTCTCTCCGTAGCATGTTGACTTATGGAGGCCATACTTCACTCTGCATTCATACAGGCAACAAAGAGGAACTTTAAACGTATACAGGGGCTGTGGAAACGTTAGAAGCTACCTGCCTTGGAGGCTTGAAAACAAAATGTTTGGCACGCTCTTGTTTTTGTGTTTCAGAAACCTGATTCTTGTTAGAATATCAGCTTACTCCACTACACAAATATGACTGGGGGCAATGTCTTTCTTGTTGCATGTTCGTGGAATGATGGAACATTCCACAGCATAAGCAACACCTTTGCTGCTCAAATGTTTGAGAGTATCGTGAAATATCACATCAGTGTTTAATACAGCACAGAAGTAGCAGTTCAAATATAGCTTATTGGACACACAACACATGTTCAAACTAATTCTACCCATTCAAGATTAACAAAGAAACTGCTAAGGTAATAATTCTGAACCAATGTCTTACCAGTCGCCCAGCTTCGTTGTTGTGCAGGTCAATGAGTGTCCTAATATCACTCTTGCCTCTTCTCCTCTTAGCGTCCATGAACTGTTTTGACTTTTCATAACCAAACTCCACATCGTCCCCGCAGCCCCCCCACTCCCACTTGACTCCGTCCCCAGGGGGGGAAGATGAGGACTGCTCTGGAGGTGCTCTGTTCCTGGTCGCTTCACAGCCACATTGCAGGAGGTCGCCCATACTGCAGGCCTGGGTCACGGCGTGGGTCACACCGGCTGCTGTGATGGCATAGACAAACGCTGTCTCCCGGATATCTACAGTAGAATGGACAGACAGAACAGGGGTTTTAGGGTATTTAATGGTTCCCAAGTTTGGTTGGCACATAGGTCAATAAAATGCAGTATACTTATATTTTCTTAGGTTCAGGACGCTTTTGGGCATATGCAAATGTTGCAATCAAGAACTAAGAGTTGACATGTATTCAGCATGAAGTTACAAACATGGCAGACTCACTACCAAAAAAGCACAAATATTAAGGCAAGATGTCAAACTTGCTCCAAAAGGATTATTTCTGGGGTTAACAAAAAGGCTGGTCACTTGCTCTATGTGCCCATGGCTGTGGAAGATCATTGGAGGATCTCTGTAATTATATAGTCAGTGTCTGGTTCTCTTTCAAAATCCAGGACGCTAAACCCAAGACAAGGCTAACTTAGCTGTTTCTCTAAGCAAAAGGTAGCATACGCATATTCCCAAAATCCCTTCATGTAATAGGATACTACAGTATATGTTAAAAACTAAATGTAAACAGGTGGTTGAAAACAGGGCCATTCATTTCAACTGATATGTTTTGGAAATTAGACTTATCAATCCAAATGTGCTAATACACAAAGGCACAGACTTCTTTATATGCCTGTGTCAAAAGCAGACACAAGTTCTTTTTTTCCCAAATGTCTAAACAACAACCTGAAATGACATGCACATGGTAAATACCTACAAATTACACCAAACCACTTTGGTGACATTTGTTGATCATACTCCTAATCAATCACAGGACAACAACTGGAGAAAAGAGACAGACAACTACAAGTGAAAGAAGCTAGTTTCCATCTATCCATTTATCCAGGCATCTGTCTCTCCTTCCAGTCAGTCCATATTGCAGCTTCATGGAACAGGATGAAAGCATCTTTCTCTCACTCCTGGTCCATTACTACAATCTCAGGCGTCATTGGATTTGTGGTGCTGAGAGCATGGCTATCTCTCACTCTCTCATGCACACTCATAGACACCACAGCTGCTGGTTTATTTCTGGTTCAGAGCTTTACACTCCTTGCTAAAGGCATGTCCAACCACAACTGCAAATTGATCGTCTGTCCTCGCCGGTGGCTACAGCATCATTCTCACCCCTCAGCTCAACACGTCTTTATCCTCAGTTATTGCAGCTATGACAGATTCTGAGTGACCTACTGGGCTGAAATTAGAGAATGCATAGTCGTAAATATCTAATGCATTCTTTGTGGTCTTTGTCGGGTACATTAATGGCGCTTTTCCACTGCAGGACCTAGCACGGCTTAGTACGGTGTGGTTAGGCCTTGGTAGGCCAGGCTCACTTTATGCTGCGTTTCCATTACAGTTTATTACCTGGGGTAGTAACTATAGTAACGCAGTGTAGGCGGGGCGATCGGCTGTTCGGCGGGCGGAGCGACACTGCGTAAAACTGCCGTGACGTCATCTTCAATGTGAACCACAAAACCAAAACATCAGCCATTAGCTATTAGCACTCAGAGCTCAGAGCTCCTCATATCTGTTCAGAAACTAGACAGAAGTTAAACAAGTACAAACCACAGACTGTCTGTGTCATGGTGAATACAGTCGCTGGTTTATTTATGTCTGTAGGCCGTTGTTGTCATTCAGAAAACACGCATTTTAAAAGGTATTTCGCCTGCCGTCTTGTCTGCAGACCGGTATCAGTATGTTGTTACTTCAGCATCATTTTGAAACGTGTATTACAATGAAATCACGGTAAAATATGTTCATTTTGTTGTAGTTGTAGCCCCCTTGCCAGCGATTCTCTCTGACCATTCAGCAGTCGAGAGTGTTTACGTCACTAGTTTAGCATATTCAGCCCGGTTGTTGGACCTCGATTTTGGAGGGCCAGAAAAAAGGTGAAAAAGCCCTGAGCCGGAACTACCCCTAGTGGAAAAGCAAAAAGAAGCGGGTCGGGCCAACTCAAACCGTGCTACGTGCTGCAGTGGAAAAGCGCCATTAGATACGTTTTTTATTTGTCACTGTTATATCACTGGCTTTAAAAACATCCATATTTTCTGTTAAAAACCTGGGTTCAATTATACCTTGCATGGCAACAAAATGTATAAAATAGATGAATAAAAACGATAAAGCCTGCAATAGTAAGCAATAAGTTGTTGTTGTTAGCAATGGCCGACAGGTGGCAAACGCGCTACACTGGCCCAAAACACTTGCATTAGGAGAAAGGCGCTGCACTTTCAAAAACAATGCAAATATAAAAACACAAATGTGACAAAATACATGCAAATGAAGAACATTTTTTACCAAATGTACAACACATGCGTAGAATTTAGAAAACATTCACCAACTTGATGAAAAATGCTGCAAATAAAAAAAACGCAGCAAGAAGCTAAAAACACAACAAAAATGGGGACAATTAAAAGTGATGCACACAGCTGGGACCGGAGTGCTTGTTTGCTTTTTGGAATTATAAAGTTGGCCAACTGTCCCTGTTGGCAGAATAAGTCTGTTATATAATGGTAAGTGTTTTGTCAGAATATTTGAAAGGACTAGGTAAACAACGTTAGCTACAGTAGCTAGCTTGCAGCATATCTGCAATAATACCAGAAGGAATGATGTGATCACATTGTTAAAATAACCCAATAAACCTTTTAACGATAAAAACGGACACTAAGTCAATCACTTAAAACTACAGTGCCCAACTGTTTTATAATAAAAATATATGTGTGTTGCCATTTATATTTTTACTACAACCAAATGTGCTTGGGGCTGAGGACCACTGAGGTGACAGACAGAGTAATGCTTGTATTTCATTCTGTTCACAGGATTTGTTTAAAACAAGTGTGTAAAGATTTCGCCTAGAAACAAGAAAGTAATCGAAATGGCACAGGACATAATGTTTGTAAATGGCAGAACTCTTGATACATGAGAAACAAGGGAACGAGAAAATGTATGTGTGTGTTAAAAAGAATGAGAGGGGAAAGAAATAATGCCACTTAGTGGACCATTGTATGTGTGCGGAAACTAAGTGAAGGGCTTTTATTTCTAAGGGCTGGAGAGCAGGGAGCGTGCAGTCACCATGTCAACACTGCCAACTCCATATCGCATGATTCAGTGAATGGGATTCATTAGAATTGGTAACACACGAAATGGGTGGAGTGCGACGAGACATGCACACCCAAGAAAGCCATAATATCAATACCAGCTGTACACCCCAACACCCAGAAATGTTTTGAAAGTTTATCGTTAAGTGTTAATGTGCATGTGAATTGCTTTGTGTAGATTTATGCATTTAAAGTCAAATCCTCACATATTTTGTCTCTTCTATTTTGATGTTAAATGAACAAGTTATGCGTTTTTTTCTCTTACGGTTAGTTTGAGATGAGCGTTACTTGCGGGCAGATTCAATAAATCTCTTAATATTGTTTGTGTGTCTTTAAATGTGCATGGTGGAGCATGTAGAACATTGTGTGTGTGTGCTGCTTAACCTCCTTGCAGAAGGGTTAGGACCACACCTAGCTGTTCCTGCTGTTCAGCAGAATATGGCTAAGATTATCAAGAGCAGCAACATACTCAAATCAAGATGTGTCCTCTCCAAAACCTCCTCAGAGTTATTAAGAGACACATGTGTGAAACAGCACACAACTCAACATAATTACAATATGGTGATAGCAACATGAGCTGTGTCCAAACTAGCTAAGAGCCTGGCCAGATGTCCTCAGATACACTAGGAACACTGCATTTAGTACAGGAAATCTGCATGAGGAAGTCATCGTGTCAATAGACATTTAATTCAAGCACAAGAGCACTTTACTTTATTTGAAATAAAGTTTCAGTAACCTTAAGCAAACTAATTAAACAGAGGGAGAATATATGGGTTGAAAGAGAGATACATTGCAGAGAAAGGAGTATTGTTATGCGTAAAATAAGCTATCAAAAATCTGATGATTTGAGGCACCCTGTTTCATATTTTCCTCGGAGACATGAATTCCAAACAAATTCTCTGCCACTGTGGGTGTCTGGGCCTGTCTACGTCTGCTTCTAATTCCAGAAGTACTTTCTGCAGGAATTAGCACATATTCTTGTAATACTCTGCATTGGGATATTGGAGCTGAAAGTACTTCAAGTCAACTCACAGTTCAGATAAGCATAGTTAAATAAAACAACTGTTGTTTTCTCAGAGGGAAAGGGGTTAATTCTGATGATTATCTTTTTGAAGCTAGTTTGGTGACAACAATTGTGACTGTTGGTCACAAAGATGAGAATGCAGTCTTCCAGAAAGGCTATTAGATACGCTGGGTTATTCTACAATATGTACAATGTAAAGAAAACCATAAACTAAGTAAATAAATAGTACAAAAGGTACAAGTAGAAATAAATATAAGATGTGTAGTACATAAAAAATCACAAAAATAAGTAAGGGATAATGTGCAGCGAGGCGGTCATTATGGGGGTCTTGAACAGCATGAAGGGTGTTCTTTTCCCCATAATGACCAAGTCGCTGCACATTATCCCGCTTATTACATGACCACATTCTCAACAAAGTAACGGTATGACTTCCAATATTAATTGAAATGCTTTTATAGATTTAGAAAATGTTTTTATTGATTTAAAAAATAGTAGGCTATTATTTATTTAAAATGTCATGCATCCGCTAAGAAAAATAGTCTGTTGTTACTGTTTGAACTACGTAGCAACGGCAGGAACAGCTTCGATAGCGTTTTTGCGGATCTTTTTGATTACAGATTTGAAAACATCGTTGCTTGCTTTAAAAGTAGCACAATTCATTATGTCAAACCTTGGAAAGTATCTAGATATCCCTGCCCTAATGCCAAAGTAACTGGCAACTGAATATGTTTTGCCGTTTGATGTCTATGTCTGGACTGTTGCGTAAAAAGGAGGGTTTCTGCCCCGTTACTTCTCCGCTCTTTTCTTGTCCCTCTTGTCTTGTCGGTTTGAAAAGCAAACTGCATGCAGTTAATATGCTAACGAATATAAGAAGCTTTTTCTCCAACCAGTGAGGTAAAAGCACATATTTATATAATCATTATAGTTATAAAAAAATAAGAGAATAAAGTAAACAGGTATAAAATACTATATGACAGTAAAAAAAAGTTATTAATAAACAAGAATACAGTTTAAAAGGGGAGTGATTTGTAAAATATCCATAAAGAAAATCTGCTTCCAGTTCTGTTTCATATGGGTGTTGAGAGATGTATCCATAGATATCCTAATGTTGCTCTCAAAGTGCACCAGATTGATGCTTTTAACTTCAACATTTAAAAAAAAAAATTCCCGGGGGAGCATGGGAGGAGGTTAGGTCCCCCCCCCCCACTTAAATCATGTCCACATGAATAAGAAACGAAATACATTTGCACACATCTTGTGTCCATATCTTTCTGTTTTGGGGGTCATGCCACAACCGTGCACGTGCATGCATGCGCGAGTCATGGTAAGATATCTGGATTAAGAGGTTGCTTTTTCTTTGCACAGCATGAAAGAAAGGCGAAATGAATGGGCTGTGATTTTAGTATTTTTAAGCAGAGGTCAATCATTTGTACGGCCCTCGGAGGATGTTGAAAAATTGAAATGGCCCTTGAGAGGAAAAAGGTTCCCCACCCCTAGTATAAAGTAATGATAGCAGCATAGACTTAATAAGAATAACTATGAGGTTAATACGTTACAAAATGTTTGCTAAGACACTTTTTTTACACCTGTGTGAGAACTGTGTACGTTTTGTAGACTGCACAAGCTTCCCTGTCTAATTTATCAACAAAGGAAAAGTCATGTGATTCAAATAATTTTAAAGCGTCTATTATCACATGAAATCTAAATAGATGTCAGTGAGGTTAAGTAAACCACTTAGAGGGAGTGAACATTAAATACAAAGGCACATTTATTTTGAGATTTACTGCTACTAGTTCATGATAAACAGCCATTAAGAGCAGATCATGGTAATTGCATACAGAGGCTTCAAAACAGAGTAGCACTTTGGACTCCCTCATAGACAGGTAGGAATGTATGATTAATTGTAAGTCTGTCTTCTACTGGTAGATTCTTGTCCCCTTTTCCCTCTCTCTTCCCCTCTGTCTCAATATATCTTTGTGTCACCATCCTTTTTTCCTCATTCTTTATATTCCTGTCAGGCACATTGGCAAGTGGCAAGGCAGTGTCCAATGAGATAACAAATAAAAAAGCATGCTTTTTATCCATATAGTCAGGTTCATGTACATGAGTTACTGACAAATAATGTAAACATTTCTTATCATCTGAGGCCAAGTTACGCTAACGTGAACAGCTGGTTACTCCTTTGATGTGAAGTATTGAAGATGAATGGTCCAGGACATTTTCTAAAGGAATATGTACCTTGTGTTCTTTAGAGAGATGCTTTCAAGGAATATTATAAAAACTGTATATCAATGCAGACACATGTCAGCTTCCTGACTGCAACATACATCAAAGCTTTTAGGTCAACTATATGGTGGCCGACAGGTGCAAACACGCTACAACGATCCATACACTTCCATTAAGAAAAATGCGTTGCACTTTCACAAACGATGCAAATTTAAAGACACAAATGTGCCAAAACACATGCAAATAAAGAAACATCTTCACTAACTTGATAACACATACGCATCATTTAGAAAACATTCACCAATTTGACAAAACATGCACATTGTTTACCAAAACACTGCATAAAAAAAACTCTGCAAATAAAAAAAGGTTGCAAGAAGCTCAAAACACAATGGAAACAGGAACAGTATTAAGTGATGCACACAGCTGGGACCGGAGCACTTGGTGACATTTGGGGATTATAAAGTAAATACACTTGGCCGACTAACTGTTTTCGTTTATGCATCGCTTTCAGTAAACGCTAAGTTTCATCAAGTTGGTGAAGATGTTTCTTCATTTGCATGTGTTTAGGCACATTTGTGTTTTTATAATTGCATCGTTTGAAAATGCAGCGTGTTTCTCCTAGTGGAAATATTTTGGGCCGTTGAAAAATGCTTACCTGTTGCCGGCCACCGTACATATATTCGTTTTACTCATCTAACTGCAATTGTACATATTCTGATAAATTGACAATGAATGTGTCTTAGCAGAAAGCAACAAGATAAGCACCCTACACTTAAACGTTAAATGTGTACACCTGCATATCTTAATTGTTTATGTTTCCTAAAAAATAACTTTTTCCAAAATGAGAAAGCTTTGATGTTCTAAAGCCTCAAATAGCAATTCACTGTTATATGACATCATAGATTAACTAACATTATTGAGAAAATCTTAATGACAGGTAAACACACATTTCCGTTTGCACTTCTTCCAGCAATGTGACCCCAAGTGGGTTTAATAACAAGCTTGACACATTTTCTTTGTACATTAATATTGGTTATTTCCTGTTTGTTGACTAAACAGAAAGATAAAAGCTCTCTAGCTGGCAAAGAAGAGACAGGCAGCTCTCTATTAATCTAATCATACAAGAGAAAAACCAACACAGTAATTGGAGAGGACCCAGCGCTGACCCGGCATTAGTTATATTACAGACTTCAAAGAGCCGGAGGAAGAAGTTCAGAGATCTTAAGAGAGATGTTAGGAGAAAAAGGCAATTTTAGCTGATCATTTCAAGCGTGCCCAATCTGATGAAATGGCGAGTCAGTCAAGTGTGAATACGTTTGGTCTGAAATACAACAGCAGCCCTTGTCTGTTGGACTGCCATCAGACGGGGATCTGACCTCAAGTTGACGTAGGCCGTCAGCTGTGGTCGTGAGGTTGTTGGTTCAGATCCTAAGGTACTCAAGGATGAAAAATTGGACATGACAATATTTGTAATCTGTGGAAAGCCTTTGGAAGGAATGATGGAGAGAGCCACAAAGATTATTATGGGAATTTCCCATCGTTAGTCTAGGTGATGGGTCAAAAATCCATAGAACTGAGTTACATACAACTAGTGGTTGTATTGGTATAACAGAATTTGGTTGATGCTGATCCTTATATTAATATTGAACTGATGGATAAAGGAGTGGTATTGATTGCCACATCTTAGTCTTAGCCATAAGGTTGCATTTTTTCTTTAAGTAGGTATAGATGAGAGCAGCACTCCATCACTGCACAGCACACCCCCTTTTTGGTGAAAACAAAACAGAAAAATATAGTTTCATCATGTCTTTAAGCTGCTGTGAAGTGTATTGCATGTTATTCAGCAAAAATGATTCAGAATTACGATTTTCTTTCCTTCCATTTGAAAAAAAAGGACAGTAAAAAAAGAGATCTTTGGCTTGAAGCTATCTACAGAAAGGACAGAAATCGTAAACAATCGGAGCCTGTCAGTCAATACTAAACGTCTGTGGAAAACCACATCATGAACAGTTGTAATGTTAAAAGTCAAAGTAAAGAATGCAGATGCCGCATTAAATTATAAAACCATGGAAACCATCCATAATTTAGATTCACTAGACATTCACCATACATCAATGCAGATCATCGATCTCCAATGACATTGTGTATTTGTTTACCTGGCTTATTTGGTCTCCATGTAGATACAAAAATGCTGGGTTTTTCTAAATATTTTGATTGAATTGTTAAAGACCTCAGAAGTTGTATTTACCGGCAGTCAAAGGAAAGTACATATTTTCACCCAAACAGAGGCAATGACGTAGAGGGAAAGTACCCAAATAGGTTGCTATCATGTACAAATTGCACTCCATACTAGACAATAGGGGGAGTATACGGGGGAAGAAATGATGCACGAAAGCATTTACCAACAAGCAAAACACATTCCGTCGGGACTTACCTTGCTGCAATATTTTGCCAAAATACTTGTTGTGGCTAGTGCAGTTCCAGCGGCGGTATCTGAACTGGTACTGGCACTCCCTGACGCCCAGCCTTGCTCCTTTGGCCACCTCACTGACAATCTCTGGCTGAGTTTGGCACAGCTCAGCCTGCTTCCCTGCCAGACGCTTCGCCTTCCTGCAAATGCTGTTGGGGTCCATCACCAGCGGACTGCCGACCGCCCTGGGAAAGATACAAAAATGTTAGATAGAATAAACAATTCTTACAATATCATGAAAACATGTCAAAGTTTTCTTGGAATACATCACATCTTAACTTAGTCACTGACCCTAACCATAACCCTACAAGTGGTGTTAGTTGCCTACCACCCTGAAAAATCGTTAAACTATGTAAGAAATAATATAATTATCCCACAGTATCATGATAACAAGTTACTTTTTTCTTGGTTAGCAACCCCTATTAACCTATTCACTGACTCTAACCCTAACCCTTATTCTGCAAATGCTTTTGGGTCCATCACCAGCTGCCTACCACTCTGGTAAAGTTTAAGCAATGTTAGAAAGAATAGGACAATCATGCTGTATCATGATTACAAGTACCCACTTTTTTCATTGTAAGCTACACCTGTTAACTTAGTCATAGAGTAAACAATGTGGCTTCACTCATCAACGGCCACAAACCAAATGCAAGCTAAGTCCTTCCTGCGGCTGCTAAGCCTGCCAACTCTACCCACCACTTCTCGGCTGTGGCGACAATGTGCTTCTTGAATAGGCACGTGGGAGACAACAGAGCACAGATTTTCCCAAAGGCGTCTCAGCTCTGACGTCAGATTCATAAGTCTGTATTTCGCTGTTGGACAGAGCTTTGGAGAACTGTGTGGTCCTCACAAAGTTGGAAGTGAAACAGTTGGACGTCTCTTCACAGACAGGCAGTTGATCCTAAAGTTGATTTTGGTAAACCAGGAGATTTCCTGACGATACAGCCTCTCTTGAGTTTTAGTAGCAGTTAAGAACTTCACAGCTTAAACCACACATATTTCTCAAATCAGTGCCGCTTACTGTAAATAATACACAGATTAAATCCATCTGAATGAAAAATGTACATGTATTTGAAATATATATACATCTTGTATTTGATGAAAACGGACCCTGGACCTTAGTAGCTTTGATAGATGACTGTATAAAATAAAGATAAATAGTTTATTCTAACTCTTAATGGGAAAATGGGCTTGGCTCTGCCACTTGGAAGCACTGCCAGCGTCTGTGGCCACTTCAGTGGAGTAACAGGAAAGTGGCTTTATGAGATGACTTTATTTCCATTATTTTTCTCCTCTCCTTGCCTTAACTGTTCTTCACTCATCCCCTCTATGCTGTTAACTTTATATACACTTAATTCCTTTTCTCACATCCTTTCATAAACTCCATCTCTCTCTCTCAAATCTTCTCCACAGTGGATTGTTAGTCACTGAATCTCAGCAGATGTGATCTTTAACTTAGAGTTTTACTATGAAAAAGATGTCAGGAGGGTATGCATGACATTGAGTGGGAAAGCAAGAGTGAGAAAAAGACTACCTCATAGCCTTTAATTCAGCCTTGTCCCTGTTAATCGCGCCGCCTGATATCATTCATCTGCACCGAGAGTTTGTTTTAAGAAGGAGAAAAAAAGCCAATCCCCTCTCCTGGCGGTCTGATTCCGAGTTAGACACACACACACAGGCACATTCACCCTAAACCCTCTGTTTTTGAAGGTTTTGACCACCTAACCATCTTCTTTATAAAGCTATATAATGTCATCACGTTATTGAAATTAAGCACCATTCACAGGGATTCTTGTTCCTTCCTCTTAGCCGATAACATTGCAGAACAGAAGGATCCAGAGGAGGCCCAAATACTGTTATCCACCAGGACATAAACATGTGATAACGGCAGATAGAATGGATTTAAGTTATGGTTTCCATGTAAAACCATTCTTATAATTCAACTTGTCTGAAGATTAGGGGGGTTACATTTTCCTAATCATACAGTACGAGCAATAATATGTGGTGTATAATGTGGAAATGATAGTAAAAGATAATAGGTGCATTGGCACAAAAGCCTGCACCGTCTGCAAACACACACTCACACACACACTCCAGGGACACCCACTGCTGCATTCCTTCTATGATAGTGTGTTGGCAACATCGCTATGGAAACAATGCTGTTTTTGCAATACAGGTGTTCTGTATGTACACTGTGCATGAGCGTGTATTTATTTTCAAATGTGTGTGGCAGTCACAAAGATAATGAAATGATACAGACTGTCTGTATGTGTTAATTAGCGGGTACAGGTACAGTACTTAGCAACGCACACTCCCTCTCAACAACCACTCATTATATACCCACTGATATCAGGCTGTGTGTTTATGTGTGTGAGGCAGAGAGAGACAGATAGAGACCAATGTAATGCATGTCTATACAGTATGTGTAGATTTGTATGGATGTGAGAAATGAAATGTATTTTTATTGTGCACGTGCCAGGGGCAGCTCTGAGGCCAGTTCTGTCAGCAGCTTACAATAGCCAGCCTGATTTTTTACAATGGGAGGTGTAGAGTTGTAAAACAAGCGAATGTACTGGATGACATTTGGGTGGAGTCCTGGAAGCCAAAGACAGAACGAGTCAGAAGGCTTTGACAATGGGAGTAAAATATATGTTTGATCTGTTTGCGAAAAAGCAAAACCAACTGGTTAAACTAATGAAGACATATAGCTGTTGGTCCAAGATTAGATGCATCAATATATTAAACTGAAAAATGTATCCGTATTCATTTTGTCATGAATTGTGGTATCCACTTTATTATCACTGCCAAGGAGCTTATGTTCTAGGTTTGGTTTGTTTGTCAGCAGGATTACAGAAAAGCTACCAGATCATCATTATGGTGGAAAGATGTAGCATGGGCCAAGAAAAAATCCATTCAATTCTGGATTGGATCAGAATCACAGGGTAGATACAGGCATTACTTTTCTCTTAGGACAGCTTTGGCGAAGGTCTGCGCTCTCCAAGTGCCCTTTCTAGTTTTGAATAATTCTCAAAAAAACTGACAGATTATATATTAAAACATTTTCTTTCTCTTGGTTCAGTTTACATGTTTGACATTCGTCAGTGGATATCAGACTTGGAGATTTCTAATGGCGCGTTTCCACTACAGCCCGCAGCCCGGTTTAAGAGGGCTGTGACGTCAGCGGCCCGTCTTTGGTTGCGTTTCCACTTGGCCTAGTACCGGCCGGCGGGTCCTAATTCACAGTTTTTCTGGCCTCATAAAATCGTGGGTCCAGGGCCAGAGACAACGAGGCTGAGTCGGGCTGAGTATGCTAAACTAGAGAGAGCGTCGCTGGCAAGGGGGCAACAACTACAACAAGATGGACATATTTGACCGTGATTTAATTGTAATACACGTTTCAAAATGATGCCGAAGTAACAACATACTGATACCGGTTAGTAAAAACCATGAATTAATGCTTTGTCAAGTCTGCAGACAGACGGCAGGGGAAAAACCTTTTAAAATGCTTGTTTTCTAAATGGAGATTGGCTAAGCTAACGCAGTATATGCCCCGACCGTCCACACTCACAACAACGGCCTATACAGACATAAATAAAGCAGCGACTGTATTCACCATGACACAGGCAGTCTGTGGTTTGTACTTGTTTAACTTTTGTCTAGTTTCTGAACATATATGAGGAGCTGTGAGCTCTGAGTGCTAACAGCTAACGGCTGTGTTGTTTTTCTGGGGTTCTCATTGAAGATCACGTCACGGCTCCGCCTACACTGCGTTACTATAGATACTGCCCCAGTTCCTAAACTGTAATGGAAATGCGCCATAAAGTGAGCCAGTCCTAACGAGGCCCAGCCATACCGAGCGGGGCCGAGCGAGGCCGTGTAGTGGAAACGCGACATTAGTGTGTAGTATTGTAGTATGTATTAGGAAATTGTATAATACATCATACATCTGTTTAGCAGTACCTTCTCTTTCTCTCTAAACACAAAACATGAAAAATAATGTCTTACGTTGCATCACTTACAACAAAATTAATCTTCGTTACACTGCATGAGCAGCTTCACAACAGTTGTAAAGCGATTAACAATTGACCTTTTCTTAAGTATAATTACAGGGTTGTGTGAGTTATAACAATTAAGACAAACAGAGTACTGATTTAGATATGTACTTCAGAACAAAATTGTGTAACCCTTTTGACACGGTGGGATGAAATCATCCCTTTATTTCGGTTGAAGGCCATTTTGTTAATCCCCATTGGACTGTCTGTATTATAAGTTTAGAAACGGGGAGTTATCTTAGTGGAATGGGAATGTAGTCTGAATCGGAAACTGGAGTGAACTGAGGTGGAAAAGCTCATTGCCGGCGCCATACCCAAAACTGGGGTGCGGTGATTGGATAATAGGATGACAGTAAGCGCCTAGCATTCTTGCCCTTGTTTGGAGATCGGTACATAAGAGTGTGCACCCCTGCGAGGTTGAAAAGGACATGGGAATACTTTGTTGTAGACTCCAGAAATGTGCATGTGGCAGGTGCAAAGAAGAGCATAATTGTTTTTAGCATAAGACATTCTCTTCACTTTTTCTATGAAGCAGTAGTGGACAAAAAGCTTCTCTAAAGTAATATTGTGTTTTTCTTGTACTGTATACAACTGCTGGCTTGATTCGAATCCTATTAGAAAGACCTTGTGTTTTTTTCCTGTTCAGTGCAACTTCTATGAAGATAAGAAAAAATACTATCTACTAGGGCTGCTCAATTAATCGTATTTTAATCGCAATTACGATTTTGGCTTGCAACGATTACGAAAACAACATAATCTAAATAAAACGATTATTTTTTTTATTGGTTTTTCAGTTGAATTATATTTAAAGTTCAGGGTAATCAACTGTTAAAAACATACTGTTCCATTTTTTTAAGTAAATGGATAATCGTTTTTAATAATCGTGATATCAATTATTGACCCAAATAATCGAGATTATGATTTTTGCCGTAATCGAGCAGCCCTACTATCTACTGCATCTTACAACTCTGAAAGGGACCATTGTTCTATTCTAGAAAACTCTATTCTAGAAAACTCAGAATAGGATGCTTAAGTGGATGCTTACGTGTGCACAAATGCAGGTCGCACACACAATCCTGCATATACAGCAAACACATCTATCCAGGCCTCGCTACTGTGCAGGCATGCAAAAA